GTCCCCCGTCCCCCGTCCCCCGTCTGTCCGTGAATGAGTGTTTAGCTTGCATAGCATTTAAATCTATAGGATGGATAATTAGGATTACTTGTGCTGGGAACTCTGTCATCTCGTCCTCACTTCCATTTGCCTGCTGCCCTCTAGTGGTCAATGTGGACATTGGTAGAATATGCCATCACTTAAATGGAGCTGGTGGAGAGTGATCCCAGTCGACATGTTCCTGCCTCATTGTGCGTTTGTGTACTCCAGATGTGTGAAATGCCGAAGCCAGCTTTCATGAAGCAGACTCTCGGTGAGCTGGGCATTGGTTCGTACCACGACATCGCTTTCATCCACCCGAACACGCCCATCATCAAAGCACTCAACATTTTTGTGGAGAGGAGAGTGTCCGCCCTGCCTGTGGTGGATGAGTCGGGTAAGATCAGAAATGTCCAGTGTTGGCAAATTATCATAAAAATAATAATACTAAACTTACTCACATACTGGAGTTCTTTCTGTCCCCTCGCAGGCAAAGTTGTGGATATTTACTCCAAGTTTGATGTGATTGTAAGTTGACATTTCTACAATTTCTGTTTTTGAAGAAACCAAATATCAGAGGCTGAACTGCTCCGTGATTCACTTTCTACGATGCATTTTCGTGTGTGTGTGTGTGTGTTCAGAACTTGGCTGCTGAGAAGACGTACAACAATCTGGACATTACGGTGACGCAGGCTCTGAAACACCGCTCTCAGTACTTCGAAGGAGTCATGAAGTGCCATAAAATGGAAACGATGGAGACCATCGTGGACAGAATCGTCAAAGCCGAAGTGAGATTTTTGAAAACGGGACTGACGTACGTGCACGTTAAGTTAACGAGACATAACCTCAGGACTGATGGTGAGCTGTATTTGTGTTTTGTGCCAGGTGCATCGGTTGGTGGTGGTGGACGAGCGCTCAAGCATCGAGGGCATCGTCTCCTTGTCCGACATCCTCCAGGCCCTGGTGCTCAGCCCCGCAGGTATAGATGCTCAGCATTGCTAGCCCCCAACTCCCCCTCTGCCCCGGACCCTGAGCTCTCTCCCCCCCCACCCCGCCCTACCCGTGGCCCAGGTAGGAAAAATCGCACCTGGTTGTGCCGCCTGTAGCCGGCTGTGTGGTGCCTTGACGTCCTGGTTGTCGTGCTGGATGCTGCTGCATGCAGCAGGGCTGTGTGGATTTTTGGGGGAGGGTGAAGAGGCTGCCATCCTCTGGTCAGGACTAGAGACTTCGCTGCTGCTGGTTCTAAAAATATATCCCATGTCTGCCCTCACCAGTGCACTGAAATATGTTTGAGATATGTATGTATGTATGTATATATGTTTTTCATCATACAGCAGCTTCAAAGTGTGAATAGAGATTAGCAAATTGCTATTTAGTGTATTTGAGTTCCTACAGTAGTTTCATAGAAGGACAGATTGAGGGAAATCATTCACAAATGTTGGGTTTGAATGGCATAAGCTGTCCCGTGCAGATGTTTTACACATTCTAAATTCTGCTATTTTATGTTTGGCTTTTAGTAGATGTAATTGCATTTTGCAAGTAGCAAGCTCTACTTTGATGTGAACATGTTTTGTGTTGATACGCTTGAAAGCAAATAACAGATGCCTGCATACGTTTAGTGAGTTCAGTGTTGGAGGTTCCCGTGTGTTCAGATCAGTAGGAAACATGACACGCAGCAGTTTAAAGGATAGGGTTACTGTTTCTCTACCCAGGCTTTCTTTAAATGTTTATATTTGTGCATAACACCGCCTCAATTTTGTGAAACTAACCAATCGGCTGTAAATTCTCACTGAGTCTACTGTGGCTGTCGCTCAGGGCTTCAAAAGGAAGGATGAACCTTGTTGAAAAAAGGAAGTTCAGACAGACATGTCTATATGTTGTGTAGAGTTATTCTTACTCCTAATCCTTTGGCTTTATTGCTGCTGGTGTAGCCTCGTTAAAGTGGGGAGTTGAGCAAAAGAAAGTCTTGACAATTTGATAGAAATGTTAATTTGTGAAAATGTTTTGGTCGAACATATGAAAGTATTTCTAACAAGAGATTTATTATATATATTTAAGGCCTAAATGGTTCATGTTTTCTGTTTGTTAGGAGAGATCCTGCTGTAGATTGGCATGTTTTCCAAAAAATCAAGCCACTGCTGTAGTTATTATGCACAATTGTTGATGAAGATAATGCATGGGGGGGGGGAAGGAATCAAGTAATCCTGTCCTAACTTGTCCTCTTCTCTGCAGATGCCTGTAAGGAGGAGACCCTGGCTGAGTGAGAGGGAGGAGGCGTCGGCTGGAGTGGAGACGTGGTGGGAGTAAATAAGTTCGGTGGTTGAGGTGAGGCGGAGCCGGTGTGAAGATCCTAGAGGCCCCTGCAACGGATGCACTGTAGAGGCTTGGAAACCAAAGAGCTAGACCGCTGAATGAAGTGGAGTTCCTGCACTGAGGATGGATTTTCTGAGTTTTTGTTTTGTTTGAACACTGATCAGATACACGCACACAGTATACTGTATTTATACTCGGACACAGACGTAGAGATGCATTAAGGTCACTTGCTTGGTGAAAGGTGGGGAAGTCTAGACTGCTCCTGATGAATTAGGGCTCCAGTGTTTTGGGTCGTGTAGTTGCGATCATGCTGCTGTCATCGGTTGATTTCTAGTCGCATTTCGTAGTCGATACTGAATGTCAACACCTCCGGGAAAACGTCTGTTTTTGGTGTAGGAAGGTGAACAGTCAAAGATGCAACTTATTGTTTGGTAGAAAAATTAAACTTAATCTGAAATGTGGCTGTTAAAAAAAAAAAAAAAAAAAAGCTTGATGCTTAATCTTAATTTGTGCCTTTGTTGCCCTGTCCACACCACTTAACACTGACAAGAATTTGTGTCCTTGGATTTTTTTTATTTTTTTTTTGTCAAATGAGTGCAATTATACTACTAATTCACATACATATTTTTCTTTATTTGGTTGTATTTTTCTCTGATTTTAAACCATGTCTGTGGAAGATCTAATTCAAAGAATATGCTAAATGAAATAAAAATAATTTTGGCACAAAAACACACAGTAGTTGGAGGCAAACACAACGGTACCCCAAAAAGGATCAGCCAGTGAGTACTTATCACTCATTTTGCATCAGAAGTCATTTATACTCATTGCTACTTAAGGATGCGTTTTTGTAACGTTATTACACGACCGGGAAGTCTTTTCAGATATTTAAAAAAACTTTTGTTACATTTACTTTCCAATTGTTTTGATGCTTCAGATAATCTAATACTCGCAAACAAGCAAGAACTGTTATCTCTGCTGTAGCTCGACAGGACTCATCTCCATCTTTGGCTGTAAATAGGATCGTTTTTGTTCGGGAAACGTGTCACACAAAGCTTTATTTTTATGAATGTGTCAACAGAGACTGCGGTTTTAATGTTATTTTTGTAAATATATTGTGGCAATATGTCCGGTTCAAAGAGACTTTGTATCAGAACAAAATGTACTGTAAAACGTGCAAGCATGAGAAACTACACTTCAGCAGTATGAATGTCCTTTGTTTTACTTTTTTCTATTTTTCTGGCTGCAGAAAAATAAATGGACACTGAATGTACTTTAAAGCCTTGTTCTTAAGTTTTAATTTCATTTTGTTTTTACCAGTTAAAAAAAAAAAAAAAAAAACTAAGGATGTCTACAATAGTCAAGTGGTTCCCACTATTGTCTGTCATACACCCACAGCGCTAATATATTCATTAATACTTCCTGGAATTGATATAGAGAAACTTTGGGAGATTTGTGAAAATGTCAAACATTCCGCCCCAAAACTACTCCCAATATTGTCCAAAACAGTTGCTGAAATATTGCCCATAGGCCTATGGGTAATTATGCTAATCAATACTCATTATGCAAATGAACCAACATATGCAAATTAGCACCCCGAAGTTTCTAAATGCTGAGGACCCAAAGAGTATCCCATGTAAGTTCTTTGTCCATACTGTACATCTCTCACATAAAACGTGGGGTACCCACGTGTTCACATCAGCCTGAGAGTCTTTACTCAAGAAGTCGTCTCGTTAAGTGACGTATCGCCGGAAGACAATTTGTGGAAACGCGATTGCTGACTGGCGCGTGCAGAGTTTGGATGTGTTGGAGGACGGGACGCTTGGTGTTATTTGAAAGATTTTCGAATGTCATGTCTCAATAAGTATATGATTTTTGGCAATGTGGATGAGGTATTTATTTGAGCCAGAGGATAAATGGGTGAAGAGAGTGGACGAGGAGGCAGAGGAGGACTGAGCCAGCTGCTGCAGGGCCGCGATGCTCCTGTGGGTGCTGTGACCCCTATGAGGCCCACGGAAGAAGAGTACCGTAAAGAGTGGGACCGGTTGCAACGAGACTTCTCCTCTAACGGGGAATTCGGACTCAATAACAAACATTTTATTTCTCTGTATGGTCCTTTCCATAATGTGTTTTTTCTAGTGCTGGGCAAGTTAATGCGTTAAATTAACGCCGACAATTATTTTATCGCGCGTTAACGCATTTTTCTTTTTTTATTATTAAGCCGACATTTTTAACACAAGAACCGGCAGCTAGCGGTGAACAGCTGTGTTTGTGTGGCGTCACTTCCTGCTGCTGCAGCTTGTGAACACCGTCTGAATATCTATTATCAGAATCATAACTGTATTATAACTGTGTAAAGGGAATACTGCTGTTAAAAATAACAGTATAACAATATTTGTTTAAAGTGTTTGCAAACCAAATGTTATTGCACTTTTGTTCATAGAGCAGTACTTTTAAAATAAAAGTGCGCAATACATTACTTTTGAATTAATTATTGAATTTTGCCATAACAATGCGATTAATCGCAAAAAAATCATGCGATTCATCGCGATTAAAAATTGTAATCGTTGCCCAGCACTAGTTTTTGCTAGTTTTTGACCGGTTTACAGCGTTATCCCTAAATACTGGACATTAACTGACCTACGAAAATATTCAGGATTTAGACATCAATGTTTGTCTCTCTGTTGGACAAAAACACAGTGACCCAACCAGAACTGACCATGAATTACTGTAAGTGTTGCAATACATATCAGCCAAAACCCTGAAAACAACTCCACAAACCAAATGTGAAAGCAGTGTTGTAGTAAATGTAGGCCTTCTAACCCTCAGTATCATCCCTGTGTATTTAAACATTTAGGAGTTTTAGTCCATTTCTTTTTAAAGCTTTGAACAACTGCTCTGTTTGGGTTTGCTGCTGAGCACTTGATCACAGGCGTGATTTGTTGTTGGTAGTTACACCACACATGCTTTGTTTATAAATGGCAGTGGCTCGGCCACCCTACTCACTGTACCTTGCACGTGTTTAAAATAAAAACATGAATATATGAACCTGTGTATTATTTGAATAGCTTAGTATTGAATGCACAATAAAGAGGTATGTTTATACTTGGCACTAGGCCCATTTTAATATAAAACACAATGTTATACAATATATATAGTCGGGGGGGTCCCTGCTCCATCTCTCTATCAGTTTGGGGGTCCTTGGCCTGAAAAACGTTGAAGACCTCCCTAAACATTACAGGACAGACGTTGTGAAACATCTACTTTAGCTGCATTAGGTTGATGTCGGTGTTCTGCGGTTCTCCGTTCTAGACTTAATGATGTTCTCTGAGCTCAAAGCTGCAACAGGGAGGGCAAGGCAAATAAAGCAAACACATCTCGCCACTCCTTAAACGTTTAACCCACGCCTCATACCTGTGTGTGTGTGTGTGTGTGTGTGTGTGTGTGTCTCACCCTCCCTCTGCCACGTTGTGTGGCCGATAATGGATGTTTTGGAATGGAAAGGAGGGAGGAAGAGAGGGAAGGATGGAGAGCAGGAGAGAGGCAGAAGGACAGATAGAGGGAAGGAAGGGTGGAGGTATAGAGCAGAGGTCTTCAACAGGGGGTCCGCGACTCCTAGGGGGTCCGATGAGGTACTGCAAGTGGTCTGCGAAATATTTGGTTGATTAGACAATTTTTTAAAAACTTTTTTTTTTTAATTTATTTTTTTCTCTAAACATGAATCTGTCCATTATTTTAATAGTTCAGTATTGTATGTAAGATAACAGGTATAGTTATGCATGGCAGTTGCACTAATAGGCCATCACTCATTTTTCGTTTCCACATTTATGTTGAAAATGAAAACATCAATTTGAATAGCTTGTATGCATGATTATCATGCAATTGACAGACAATGTTGATGTTGGCATTGGTATCAGCTGACAAGGTATGTTTATAAATGGCAGTGGCACGGCCACCCTACTCACTGTACCTTGCACATGTTTAAAATAAATACATGAATATATGAACCTGTGTATTATTTGAATAGCTTAGTATTGAATGCACAATAAACCGGGGGGGGAGCCGGTTGTCATGATCACCAAAACAACCAGCCTCCTCCTGCTGGGGGGGACGGGGGGGAGGGGCTGGTTGTCACGATCACCAAAACAACCAGCCTCCACCTCCTGGGGGGGACGGGGGGGAAGGGCTGGTTGTCACATCACCAAAACAACTTGCCTGGTTCTGGTTCAGGTTCAGACATTCTCGCACTGGAGGGCTTCTGGAGGACTTCAGCCTCTTCGTGGATCAGGTTGTCGGTGGTCTCAGGGAGCTTTTGATGGAGACACCCCTCCTTTAATAGGAGTTCCACGATCTTAACGTCCCTCCGGTAGATCTTGTCCTCCTGCTGCTTCCACTCCCGGGTCACATTCTGCATAATCTCCATGAACTCACCTTGTTTCTTAGACAGGAGCTTTTCAAACTTGACCGCCATGGCCTTTTTCTCGTCCCCTAGGCGATCAATGTTTCCCTGCATTAGCTTATGGTGGGCGGCCCAGTCCTGTTCTCTCTTGGCCTGAGCTTCGTTTACTCTCTTCTCGTAACCTCTGAAACTTTTCCGGTAGGCTTCGTCAATATTGAGGAGTTCGGTACGTTTAGAGTTGTACCGAGCCATGTTGGTGTCAGACTGTCGAGAGACCATTGCTATGTCTCCTATGAGATGCAGGATCTTTTTCTCCTGCTGTTTCCCCTGCTGGTCCATATTCCGCATTGTTTCCATCAGCTGTTCTTTCTCCGACAGGTGCTCTCTGAAGTTTCCCTCCAGTTGCTTCCTCTCGTCCAGGATGCGAGTGATGTGCTCTTCTAACTCCACCAAGACCTGTTCTGTCTGGGCGAGCTCTCTTGTTGATTTCTCACCCAGAGCTTCGTATTTCTCCTTCCAGACATTCTCGCTCTGGAGGACTTCAGCCTCTTTGTGGATCAGCTTGTCGGTGGTCTCAGTGAGCTTTTGATGGAGACACTCCTTCTCCTTTAAGAGTTCCACGATCTTAACGTCCCTCCGGTAGATCTTGTCCTCCTGCTGCTTCCACTCACAGGTCACATTCTGCATAATCGCCATGAACTCACCTTGTTTCTGAGACAGGTGCTGTCCGAACTTGAACGCCATGGCCTTCTTCTCATCCCCTAGGCGATCAATGTTTCCCTGCATCAGCGCTTCTTTCTCCACCCAGTCCTGTTGTTTCTGGGCGAGTTCGGCATGTTTTTTACTCAGCCTCTGAGAAAGATCCAAGATTGTATTGTTCTTGTAGTGGAGTTCCTCCTGCAGGTGGTTCACATTGCTCTGATACTCATCGGTATCGCACATCTGCGTCTTTGGGGCAGAGACTTGTCTTTCTGCCTCATACCTGGCGACCATGATGTCGTACTTCTGCTGGCTCCAACGCTGGGCGGCGTCCATCTCCTCCTCCTTGAGTATCAGACTTTTTTTGAGGTAGGAGATTTCAGCCTCCTGCTCGGACCTCTTCTTTGATTCTGTGTTCTGAATCTCGTGCAGGTAGCTGGTTCTCAGCGTACCTTCGTCCCACCAGCTGCAGAGGATCGCCTTTTTGGAAGCTAATGCTCTGTTGATCTCTGCCAGAGCGTCAATCTGACAGTTCAGATGGTTTGAGTGGCCGACAGCATTCTGGAGATGATTGATATCCATGACACTTTGCTTGTCTGTATTAGAGAGTAGTTAGAATATCTGCTCTGTAGTGAATGTGACTTTCACCGAACACTCCTGTTGACTAGAATGATAATATCTGTCTGTCTCTCTGGGTTATAGAAATCTGATTTTGTCATCAAAGGCACAGAATGTGATGACTTCACATGGCTGTGATCCACATGGCTGTGATCCCCGTGAGCCATGCGATCACGTGATCATGCGACCACGTGACCACGCGACCACGTGATCACGTGACCATATGATCACGTGATGTCATCACATATATTAATGCTTCCTGTCTGTTTGACATATGATCAAATATTCATATATGTTAATATACTGTATATACGAATACTTCCTGTCTGTTTGACATATGATCAAATATTCATATATATTAATATACTGTATGCTTACCATGTCTTCTTTTCCTTCTGATGAACATATTCTGTGAGAATATTCAGATGCTTGTCTCGCACAATTTATTTCTTTTCATCAGACAAACATTCCTAAGAAGACTCTCTAAAGCACAGACGGCTGAACAGTCATCACCAAAGCTGTGAGCAGTTGAGCCTTCAGCCCTGGAGCCTTTTTTCTCTTCGTGGCATGCTGCCCCGAGGATATTTTAGAGCCGGGATATACGCAACCGTGTGCCAGGGAGTCCTGCGGAAAGGCTGCTTTTTTTTTTATTAGCAGATCATCTTCAAATCCAGAGGAGGTTTAAAGATGATCTGCTCAGGGAAATTAGCTGTCGGGTTTTCTCAGGATGGTGGTAGAAATGTGCAGACTTGCGACGTTTTAAACCCTGCTGGAGTGTTTGTGGAGCAGCCACAAGGTGACACTGCAGTACACGGTTCACTTAGAACATCAGCTTCTACAGTCGGTGTAATGAGCAGCTCTTTCTCATTGAATATTTACATTTCAATAAGAGATGAGTGGTTTCCGAAGGGTGCTTTTTTTCACATCTCATTTTAAAGGAAACAGCTAGATTTCAGCAGGAAGTTTTTTTTTTAATGGAATAAAGGTTGCGTCTAAATGAGGCAAAGGTACCGTGAGTGGATCAGATGGACTTCCAAATGAGGGGTAAATCTGGACCAGACTAACTCCAGACAATCTGCTTTGATCTCCCAATCTCCCCTGTGGTATCCAGTGCTGGGGAAGCCTCCTCTACACCTTGTAGGCCTAAAGCAGAAGAGGCAAGAGGGCTTCTCTATCCCCCCATCCTCCTCCTCGCTGCCCATCTCTTTCTCTCACACACACACACACACACACACACACACACACACACACACACACACTGGACTCTCTTTTGAAAGTCTAGGGCTTGATTTAAAATTCCTCTTCAGAGCGTGTCATGCATTTTATATGCATGGCGAGTGGGAGAGAGAGAGGAGGTATTGCATGGGGCTCCAGCCCAAATGAACTTTCCTACGCTGTTGATCTCCTCAGGGATATATCGACACACACACACACACACACACACACACACACACACACACACACACACCACCACCACCACTTTCTTTCACTCCTCTCATTTCCTCGCACCCACACACCCCAAACTCTTTCAACATTAGTTTTACTGCATCATGCTTTTCACAAATTCCACCGAGCAGCAAGAGTTCCTTTGCCTTTGAAGACGAGTGTGATCAGAACAGAGGCAGGGGGGGTGGGGGGGTGCAAAAAAAAAAAGAAAAGGAAAACCTGGCCGCAGGGCATTTTGCACTTGTGTTTAGCAGGGCATGGAGCAGAGGAGGGGAGGCTGACAAGTGCAGTGTTTGGGGACAGCTTTGATGTCTGATGGGGTGCGGCTGCTGCGCCTGCACAGTCCTTCACAAGGAGACTGTAAGGTTGACACAACCAAGCTACATGTACAGTTCACAGCTGTGGGTGGATAACAGATAATCAAAGGGGCACTGCTGATGCACTGCTCCCAACCCGAGGTGTCTCTCAGAGACGAAGCTGAGAATCGATTAACTAAAAATATTAAAAAAGCAGATGCAACATGAACTTTGACTGCAGCTGCTTGAGAAATCCGGTTTATTAGGAACAATGTGATCCCGCTAGCTTATCGTGGATATAGCAGTAAACAACAGAAACACAATTCACTTTTTTGTCTTTCTTTTTTTTTAAGTGCTACATGTTTGTGATTATAGACATAAAACAGTACAGCAACCATGGCGCCTACATTCATATATGCACAGAGAATATAAAAATTACAGTATATTGCTGTTGAGCCATTCCTACTCCTGCTTGGGAATCACCTTCCCTCTCACACACACACACACACACACACACACACACACACACACACACACACACACACACACACACACACACACACACACACACACGCTACTAGAAATATATGACACACTGTGAGCTGCTGTAATGAGAAGTGGGGGTGGTTTATAGTGACAACTGAGACGAGGTTTAAGTCTGGCAGGTGAACATTTTACAGATGAGCACTGAGTTATCATTGGAGCACAACGCTGACAAAAGTTAAGCTGATATAGTACAGTAACACTAGACAAACCCTCACCGAGTAGACTCGGTCAACTGAAGCGACGTGTATTTGCTACTTTTTGTTTAGTTTTTTCTTTTTTAAATTAAAGATTAATACAAGTTAACTTTGGTTTCCAGCTCTCTAGAACTATACTGTAAATCTATGGCAGTTTAAGCTGTAAGTAAATGTAAAATCAACAGTATAGCAGCCTTAAGCCAACGTTAATACGACACAAAAATTCACTTTTTGAAAAAAAACAAAACATCTTTCTTGTTATAATAGCAGCCGGGGGGGGGAAATTACAGTGTGATTCCTTGGAATAGAAAAAGTGAAAACAATACATTTTTCATCAAAGTACTGTTAAAAAATCTGTGATCTGGTACCTCTTAATAAATAGAAAAAAAGCAACTCCTTTGCTGTTATTTGTTTTGTTATATGCTACCCTATTCTGTTATAAATATGGTTACACATATTTGATGTGTGAAGACTATCTTTCATACATGCAACAAAGAAGTTGAAGGTCTTTAATGACAGAGGAAGGAAAGAAACAAAACAAAAAAAATCACTTTTCCATAGCCCAACTATCCAAAATATAAACCAAAAAAATATTTCGGAGCTTGTGAATGCTTCCAAATTTTCTATCAGACTGTAACACGAGACAAACATCAATAAAGCAAATCAATGACTGAATGCATTTTGCAGACCGGAGAGAAGGGACATCTCAGGTTCCAGCACACGGGACACACCGGCTTCAGTCCTAAACTGAAACTCTGCTGCTGGTTTTTCCACGCGGTCTTCTGTAGCCAGGCGGGTTTCTCTCGGACCGCGTCGACAAGCGCCTTTTGTCAGAGCGGATTCTAGCAGCACCGGGTCGCCGCGTGGCCTCAGCAGCTGGAGGACACATGTTGACCGGGTTCAGCTCTGAAACCTGGGTGAGCCCAAAACAATCTGCCCACAAGTGTGGACTTGAGTAAGAAAGCTGGTAGAAACAGTGGTAGAAAATAGAAAAAGAGCCGATAGCCTTTAAGAGTCGCTTGGTGCCAATGTGTGAACAGTGATGGTGCTTTTTAGAGGGGAGTGATTTTCAGTCTCCTTCACGTCGCTTTGCTCGATGAATGTGTGTTTCAAATCTGGTCCGTTCCCGTGCCACGGGGGCCTACTCCCTTCGTTACTTTTACCTCGCTCTTTTGTGCTGTGCTCAACATTTTTCTCAATATATTAATCAACATATGATTTTTTAATGCAACGACAGGCTTCTCCGGCATGTTTTTCACTGCTTCAAAAATTCTCCATTCTCCTCTTTTTTTTTCTGGGATAAAACCACACAACCACACAATTTGGGGGATTTGGCGTGCTGCAAAAAATTAAAACCAAACACGAAGATCACAATCGAGGAGCGTTCGAGCTCTGTGAAAGAAAGATCACCAGAGCTCAGTCCCCCCCAGCCCTTAGAGGCCAGTGAGAGTATAATGGTGGAGCGTGTTCAGAGTTCACTGGAGCTATCTGAGGAGTGAAAGCAGTAGACACAAGCCGCGCTGGTTGTAGCAAGCCGCTTCCATTATACATTCTGAGCAGCTGTTCTGTGGAGGAAGTCCTTTGAAGGACGGCTGCAAGGGGGGGGGGGGGGTAACCGGAGTCCACGGTTCAAACGGGGTTCTTCACCCTAACAAGCAGGGGCGGGTCTGTGGCCGCTTCCTCTCCGGCGTGGGGCATCATTGTCCATGCACCCCCATCGTCAAGGCCTCCCAATAGAGGTCCCGCATGAGCTCTGACACATGCAACGTCTACACTAACACTCAACATTCATGCTATAACTAGTACAGAAGCAGGCAGAACAAAAAAACAAACAAAAAAGATGCATGCCAGTGATGCCACCTCCTTTCTCCTCAGTCAGACTCAGCTTAGTGCGATTCCATCTAAGCGGCCTCTTTTCAAGACGTCCTTTTGCTTTGTATGGGCTGTGCATCTGGTTGCTTCAATTGTTTTGATTTGTGTCTATTTTGACATGGAGGGAGCGAGGAAGAGGGAGTTTTCTGAGAGAGGGCTTTGAAGAGAGCATGATTCGGAAGAGTCTGAAGGTTGTCTCTGAGGGGTCAGGGGCATCTATAAAAAGGAGGAGGGAGAAAAAAGAAGAGGCACAAGGAGGAGGAGGAGGAGGAGGAGGAGGAGGAGGAGGGGGATGAGGAACAAAGTCAAGCTGGTAAAAGAAAAAAAAAGGGGGGGGGCTCCTCGTTCACTTCTGTGTAAGGTACGCTCCGATGGTGAGGCTAGCGGCCCCGAGTGCAGCCAGACCGAAGACCGTCTTAATGGAGGGCCAGGAGCAATTGAAGAGGGAGTCCCTCTGTCTATCATACAGCTCCACAAAGGCATCCTGGAAGAGAGACAGGAAGAGAAAGACAGACGGTTAATTGGGCTGGCGAAGAATGTGTGTTCATGTACGAGTGTGTTCTTGCGTCAGTTGGTTATTTGATGGGTGGAGTCTACTAGAAAACAAAACACCATAAAGGATAGAGACCTTCTTGTATACAGTTTATGTACACAGTGGAAAACAATCAATGGCTCTCCATTGACTGTGTACTGTGGGAAGGTGCCTCCTTGTCACTTTCTTCTGCTAGCAAACAACGAGAAATATGTAAAAGCTGCTGTGTTGGTGGGATGCACTACCAACAGAGTAAAAAAGAACAGAATTAAAGCTAGCTAGCGTAGTGAGCTAACTACAGTAACTTGCTAACAAAAGCTTGCTAAAAGCTAACTTCATTCGTTGAGTTATGAACTGCTCCCCTGGTAGACAAGGGGTGCTACAATATTCCTTTGACTTGCTGGAATCTAGGCTGATGCTGTTAGCTCGCTACAGGCTCGCTACAGGCAGGGACTGACTCAAAATAAACTACAATGCCCAGTCATTGAAATGAAGTAACATGTCCGTACTAGGTTCAACTCACTGTTGGTTTTCTTGTCATGGGATATCCCGACAATAAGAAAAATATACCCAGATCATTTCAAGGATTGGTTCATCAAACAAGGTGTTTAACCTGGTGGTATCTAGCCATACAAATCTTTCACTTTGATTTCACAAAATTTTGAAACAATGGAGGTGAAAAATGATGTTAAAATAATGCAAAAACCTTTCTTTCCAGCAACAGTACCCCAGTTACTCTTACAGAAAACTCCTTACACACACGCCTTCCGTGCAGAGAGACACAACACACCCAGAAACAAATAAACATGGGAATCACCAAAAAGAGCCCGTTTGCAACTGCACGTCAACAGATTTAGTTATGTTTGGGGTTTTTTTTAGCGTGTGGACGAGCGCTTGCAGCGCTCCCACATAAATATATTCATGTTACTTAGAGGGCACTCTGCTTTCTGCTGCCAACAGGAGTTTTAAAAGAGGTCTGTTACAATTTGAGTATGTGTGAGTGTATGTAAGGTCCATGGCGCAAATACCACGGCTGTAGCATCTCCGGCGAGGAAATACAGACATCTGATCATAAGCAGTGACAGCAGGAACAGCTGGACAGGAAGTCGTGGTGCTAAGATCCTTGCTCTCCCACACACACACACACACACACACACACACACACACACCAGTAGATTATCTTGAACCTGCCATGAAAAGAGTATGTTCTAGAGAGGATATATCAATGGTTTCCTGTTGAATATCAACTCTTTTGTTATGAAGCTAACCACATTAGCAGCAGCGTTGTGAAGCCGTACATTTGAGCCCCTTTGATGCCTCTGTTTTCAGCTGTAACTTGACCTGATCTGTGAACAATGGTGAATTGTTAAGTTTAATTCACCACAGCATTACTGTGTCGGCTCCCATGGGAATCCATCATCATTATATTGTAATCTGTCTTGGTTTAACTCAATTTACTTACAGTAATCATGTTTTGTGTAATTCTAACTGGAATGCTCGTGTTTTATTCGACCTTGATCTAGAAGAAAAACTGGGTCATAATAGACTTTTTCAAGTATCACATTTTAATATACAGCTTTCCTTGTATCAAACACAAGCCTAAAAAAAAAAGAGGAGACATCCATTCTGAAGTGCTGTGGGGGGACAAAAGTATTTCCTGTTTCCCTCGCCTCCCTTCCCGTCCTGTCGCATTCCTGAGGCTGGGGGCCAGTCTGTGACACAGAGGAGGAAGGATCAGCAGTTTCTTCCCAATTAAGGCCCTCTGGTGTCAAAACACACTGCAGTCTTAAATCAGCCGCCAATATCTACATGGCATTTCCTTTGTTGAGACTGAGCGTTTTTTTTAATTATCCAGGGCTCAAAACAAGACAGAGCATACAACCATGCCAGCAGCTCTGTGAGACTGAACTGCTTTGAGCTAAATGCTAACGTCAGCATGCTAACATGCTCACAATATTAGTGCTAACATGTTAATCGTAGACGGGTATCAAGCTTACTGCTACAGTTCAGCAGATCACCATGCTAACCTGTGCTAGGTAGCCCTAAACACAAAGTACAGCTGAGGGTGATACCATTAGTTTTGCAGGGTCTCCAAAGTTATTACAGTTCAAACTGAGAGGGACGTGAATTTTTGAAATACATTTCATGGCAATTTATTCAGTATTTGCTGAGATATTTCACACAAAACCACAAAAGGTCAGCCTCGTGGTGACGCTAGAAGTCTAAAAGAGACTGCAATCATGAAGCTTCCTTTTACAAAGAGTTGCTCCTGGTGATTAGAAATTACGCTTTCTAAGAATGTCCCCTTACAGTGAGGAAAATATCCCGGTGAAGATAAACCTTATGCTCAAGGCTATGGTGAAAAACTGATTAGAGAGAAAGACTTTTAAGAGGGTTAAGAGTTCCTTAAGTAGAGGAGAAAATGGTGGAATGGAGAAGGGACACATATTCTCCAAACACTGAGTGACAGAGAGTTAATGAAACGCTACATATTAGATGGTGCACGGATAACGTTGTCGATCTCATTAAAGATGCAACGGTGTTCGCTGGTTTAGATTTACATGCCGCTACTTATATAGACTGGTCAGCAATCAACTGATGAAAGCTCAGCCATTTTCCCCTTTTTAATATCAAACAGATTAATTATTAAACAGCCTACTGGTAAATAAACACAAGTAAATAAATATAATAATTATCAGAATGTGAATAGGCTACTGTCTAACTAGGCCTGTGTCTTCAAACATTTTGCAAGCTACTTTTAAAGTGCTCATTACATAAAATATGATTAAATTCTATGATTAGGACTATTTATCTTACTGTCCATTCCATGCCCATTACCACTAAGGGGCTGTTCACAAATGTTGCATTTTTTGCGCAACAAACGCGAGAGCGACTTTGCAGTGCGCAAGCGTTCCCCAGCGCCTATTTTTCAGGGCGCAACGGCTGCACCCTAAGAAAGAAATTGTTAAAACTTTTGGAGCGCTGCCGCCTGCATGTCATAGGCGAGGAACAACCAATTAAAGCTGGCAGACATCTTTTCTTTTTTCAGTAAATATCAATCTACGGTATGGAGGAAAAGGACTAACCGTTTGCCATCTGAGGACGTCACAACACCTGGCTTAAGATCAACCAAATTGGTACAGACAAATTGAGTAGTAAAGCCACTGTGAGGGACACCTCTTTAAAATAATGTGTCATACCTAACAAAGGGGTCACCCGAACTCCTCACTAAGGTAAAAGTTTCATGTTGCTTCCTTGTTAAGATTCGCTCTCAGAAGTTTCCTAAATCATCTTGTTAGCTGAGGTGACCGGAGCTGCGAGCCACTTTCCCTTTCTGAGCCGAACTACCACTCAGCTTCACACCACTGAGAGGAGGAAAACTATTTTTGGTTTCGTTATGAAACTATGGCAGGACAAAATAGACTTTGGCGGGCTGCCACAGTCTCTGTAATTAATGGGAAACACTGGATGTGGTAGTGGGCCAACTGACATTACCATCCCGAGAGCCATGCTGAAAATGGAGAGCAAAATGTCCGATGGCTTTATTGTAAAGAACTGTGAACAAGCACCGTCTTTCAGCAACGCTACCCTCCCTCCCTCCTCTCCGCGAATCAGGTATTAAATAGAGAACAAGCTCTCCACTCAGACCTCCAGCTGAGGGAAATGTGTTAGCTGGCGAAAACACTGCCTCTGTCTATTTCCCCCCCCCACCTACTCCAGGAAAATAACAGTTTGCTGAGGCAACAACATAAACCCAGTGGCTCCAGCAGCATGTATGTGACTGACCTCTAGCTAGGCTCCACATACTGGCAAACCCATGATGCGTGTCCTCAATACGTCCCAGACGGCCGGCATTAGATTTAAGTCTGAAACAGCAGTGGGCCAATTACGGTAAGGGGTTCATAAGAGCGGTGATGGATGTTTAAAAGAATCCCACAAGGACATTGGCGGTGATAACTCTAGGCTGACCCAGGGGAGAGCTGGGGGGGGGAGGGAGGAATTGTGTCAGGTGGATATCATGAGACTGAGGCAGGGAGGAATTGTGTCAGGTGGATATCATGAGACTGAGGCATGCTCCTGGAACTTTTTCACCCACACGTTAGCAAGCAGTGCTGCAACAGCTATGTGAGAAGTGGGAAAAACAAACCTTGGGACATTCTATTTGTTTCCTTCCACTCCCTCGTTCTCCTTTTGTATCGACTGTCATTGTGAAAGATTTGAGCCTTTTTGAAGAAAAAACAATTATAAGCAGCTGTCAAAGTGAAACAGAACGTTTTGCGGGGACAGGAAAGGACAAAACATCTGCATTCTTCACATCTAAAGGACAATATAATCCTCAAAAAAAATCATCTCACTGCCCCGCAGCAAACCATCTGCCTCCGACAGCAGGTATGCATCTGGGAAATAGCGTCCAGGCTGCAGTTCTCCGCAGTATTCATTTGTTTTGGGATCGATGTCTTTATAAAAAGGTCACAGCTGCCCTACAGAAGCACAGTATCCAATGGGAAAATGCCTAGCCAGGTCTACACACTCCCTTCGTTTTTACAGCGCACAATGAATCCCTCGGAGAGAGACGCATTCAGAGTAAAGGAGTCAGACTTGAGAGGATCCCATACTCAGCCGTGGGGTGGCAACTTGCTGCCAGAGTGTCATGGTTACCCTGGCTGGAAGCTTCACACATGATTTGCTTTTCCCACCAGCGGGAGCGAGCTTGTCCCGACCTCTGATTTGTTTTTCACATGATTTAGACCTCTGTTTTTTTTTTGTTTTTTTTGCTCCATGTCTTTCTCATGAACACAAAGAGACTTTCACCCCGTTGTCTTCCTCGGATGGCCCTACGCTATCTTAAGAGGAACAGGAAATGACAAACATTTGCCAGTTCCTTTGGGTATCCCCCTGCTTTTTGGGAATGATCCCCCGACTTGTGTGGAAGATAATGAGTCATCTTGTGC